GCTGTTAGAATTAAAGGAGTTAATACATGCAAATCACTTAGAAAGGTGTCTAGCACATACTAAGTTCTCAGTGAAGCCACTATTATGTATTATTACGACTGGAAAGGAGAGGGCTGCTGGCATTAATTCTTACACATATGCTCTGGAGACATGACACTGTGAAATGCCCTCTCTCTTTTCTAGGCTACACCTGGGCAGCTTGTGCAATAGATTTGTTTGATTCTCTGCTGTGACACTTACTATGTGGTTCTGGGCACATGACTGACCTCAGCTTTCCTATCCATAAGATGAGAGAAATAAGAAACTGCTTTGCATTAGCTATACATATCTGCCACAAAACTCCATACAAATGAATAATAGTTTCATTTTTTAATTCATGGGGGCTGGGGCTGGGGAGTAGTTCAGAGAGAGAATTTGCCAGGCTGGGAATGGAGGAGGACAAGCAGGGAGGGGTTCCTGTCCACAGCAGCTCCTCCTTGGACTCCTCAGATCTTTCACATGACCTATGACCTGGCCAGTGCTGTGGTTCGCATCTTCAACCTCATTGGGATGATGCTGCTGCTATGTCACTGGGATGGCTGTCTGCAGTTCCTGGTGCCCATGCTGCAGGACTTCCCTCCCGACTGCTGGGTCTCCATCAACCACATGGTGGTGAGAAGTCCCCACAGCTCTGCCTTTCCTGGGCCTTCTTAGGGCTCTTCTGCCCGAGTAGCAGGGATGGCACAGGGAGCAGGAGGTGGGAGATGATCATGACAGAAAATAGGAGTGAGGAGGTGGGGAGGAGGGAGGAAAGGGGAAGGAGACCCAGAAGAAGTGCTCGTGTGTTGGAGGGAGCAGGCAACTAAGGGTACCTAGCCAGAAGCTGAGGTCCCCAAGTTGCAATAGAGGACCCTTTTGCCTCAGGGCCCCCAGAACCAAACTTAAGTGCCTGCCAGGAGGAAGGCCTGCAGTAGAAGGGGGCAGAGAGAAAGACCAAAAGAAGAAGAGGGGCAGGTGGAGAATGAGGCTCCAAGGGGCCCATGCCCAGCTCTGCAATACACTCTGCCCCTCAGAACCACTCGTGGGGCCGCCAATATTCCCACGCCCTGTTCAAGGCCATGAGCCACATGCTGTGCATTGGCTATGGGCAGCAGGCACCTGTAGGCATGCCCGACGTCTGGCTCACCATGCTCAGCATGATCGTGGGTGCCACATGCTACGCCATGTTCATCGGCCACGCCACGGCACTCATCCAGTCCCTGGACTCTTCCCGGCGTCAGTACCAGGAGAAGGTCAGCAGGGACAGGAGAGGGAGGTGTGGCATGGAGGGGTGTTGGAGACTGGGTAACCTGACTTGTGGCCCATTCTGATGTGTGCCCCTGTTGCACCTCTGTTTCCTTTCCTGCCCTGTGTCCATTTGTTCCCTGCCCCTGCGTGTACCTTTTCCTTGTTTGAACCTATGCCTGTGCTTGGCCCCTCCGCTGTCCACACCTGGGTTTTCCTATGACTGTGCTCTGTGTCTTCCTGGTACCCACCATTATCCATATTGCTCTGTGGCCCTGTTTATCCATGTCTGGTTCCATGTTTCACCCCTTTGAGTTTGACCTGTCTCTCTGACCTCCCCCACACACACCCCACTGTTCCGGCCCCAAATCTCTCCCTGTGTCCTCTTGCCCCTGGCAATGGGCTGGCCCTCCAGTATAAGCAGGTGGAGCAGTACATGTCCTTCCACAAGCTGCCAGCAGACACGCGGCAGCGCATCCACGAGTACTATGAGCACCGCTACCAGGGCAAGATGTTCGACGAGGAAAGCATCCTGGGCGAGCTGAGCGAGCCGCTTCGGGAGGTGGGGCTGGGTTGGGCCTGGAAGGGGGACTCTTCAGGGACCTGGAGTGCTGTCTGGTGGTAGGGGCTATTGGTCAGCAGGTGCTCCTATAGGGAATGAGGCCTGCAGAGGGCCCTGTGGGAGGCCAGGTATTTGGGGGGCTTTCAGGGGCTAGGGTCTTTCTTGAAGGTCCTTTGCAGGTGAAGTATACATGAGAAGGGACTATAGGGATCTCTGTTTTCGGGGGATGGTCCCACAAGGGCTCATGGGAAAGATCCGAAGGCAGGAGCTTAGGGATGGTCCCAGGTCCACTGACGCATCCCCATCCCTTGGCAGAACATGACCCCAGGGGTGAGGTTTCTGGAAGCAGATGAGCTTGGGGGATCATCTCAGGTCACCGGGCACAGCCTGCCTGACAGGCCCCTCCCCTGTCCAGGAGATCATTAACTTCACCTGTCGGGGCTTGGTGGCCCACATGCCGCTGTTTGCCCACGCCGACCCCAGCTTCGTCACTGCAGTCCTCACCAAGCTGCGCTTTGAGGTCTTCCAGCCGGGGGACCTCGTGGTGCGTGAGGGCTCCATGGGGAGGAAGATGTACTTCATCCAGCATGGGTTGCTCAGTGTGCTGGCCCGCGGCGCCCGGGACACACGCCTCACCGATGGATCCTACTTTGGGGGTCAGCAGGCCTCAGGGAGGGTGGCAGGGTCACGAGCAGACAGTGGAGAGGGCAACTGCTCCTGGGCTCAGGATCCCTACCTGGGTACGCTGCAGAATCACAGAGCTCCAGCCCCTCCCCAGGCCTACTCATGGAGAATCTCTGGGCTGGAATCTGGAGCTCTGCAGTTTTTTTGTTTGTTTGTTTTTTGTTTGTTTGTTTGTTTGTTTGAGGCGGAGTCTCACACTGTTGCCCAGGCTGGAGTGCAGTGGTGCAATCTTGGCTCACTGCATGCTCCGCCTCCCAGGTTGATTCTCCTGCCTCAGGCTCCTGAGTAGCTGGGACTACAGGCGCCCACCACCATGCCTGGCTAATTTTTTGTATTTTTACTAGAGACAGGGTTTCACCATATTAGCCAGGATGGTCTCAATCTCCTGACCTCATGATCTGCCCGCCTCGGCCTCCCAAAGTGCTGGGATTACAGGCGTGAGCCACTGCGCCTGGCCTGAGCTCTGTAGTTTTTAAAAGCTTCCCAGGAGATTCTAATGCACAGCCAGGTTGCAAACTACTGGGCCAGAGGGCCTTTTAGAACCCTTAGACAGTGAAATCCAAGGAGCCTATGAGATGAGGGAAAGGCAGGAGTGAAGCACGACTGTCCTGGAGCATGAGCTTTATGGAGCTGCCTGGCGGTGTGATTCAGGGACCCAGCCTGTGGCAGTAGGGGCAGTTCAGCCAGCCACTGCCCAAAGTGACTGGAGGCTCATATAATCTCTCAGCCCCCATACCACCCACTATCCCCATCACATTGCCCTTTGCTCTTTGACACTGCTTTTCTCCTTCAGGGCTGCCCTCAGTGTTTATTCAAGGGGGTAGGAGGGGTAGGTACACTGAGTTGCCCAGGTCTACCTCTTGGGATAGAGTAGTCGGGGAGGGGTGGGAGTTAAAGTGAAGTGGAATCACTGGGAATCCAGGGCCAGCAAGACCTGTCTGGTCGTCAGCCTTCATTTGGAGAGAGTGGGAAGGACAGGGAGCAGTAATCCAGTAATTGTGGGAGTCTGGAGAAAGACAATGCTTGGGGTGTTTAGGGACCCTGGGGCAGGGAGGTAATAGATAATCAATGGTTTCTCCCACATCTAGGGAGGAGCCTTAGAAAGTGGGGTCCACTGCTACAGGCTCAGTGAGAGGAGTTCCAGGGACAAGGACAGGGGTTCTGAAGCTTCCTCCCAATTTCTGCAGAGATCTGCCTGCTAACTAGGGGCCGGCGCACAGCCAGTGTTCGGGCTGACACCTACTGCCGCCTCTACTCACTCAGTGTGGACCATTTCAACGCTGTGCTCGAGGAGTTCCCCATGATGCGCCGGGCCTTTGAGACCGTGGCCATGGATCGACTGCGCCGCATCGGTGAGACCTGTCCACCTATCTGCTCTGGGTCCAGGCTGTGCCCTCACCCCACCTCCAAAGCAAGGAGCCCAGGCTTTAGGGCTCCAGGATCATATCCCAATCAATTCAGCCCCAACAAATGCCCCCTAACAGGCCTTTCGACACTGTGGCCCACTGTCCCTATCCCTCAGCATGTCCTACCCAGGAGAGATAGCATCCCAAGTCTCCATGTCCTGAGTCCTCCTTCCCCTGAGTACCAGTCCTCTGACCCTCGCTGTCTCTGATACATACCCTCTTCCTCCAACCCCCATCTCCACCCGCATAGCCCCATTGCCATACTACTGACTCCCATCCCCTACCCTCAACCCCACCCCATCCTGATACCCTCATACTCTTTGATATCCAACCTCCATCTTGAATTCCTTCCCTATCCTTAACTTCTCCCTCCCGGGACAACTTTTAGGCAAGAAGAATTCCATACTGCAGCGGAAGCGCTCTGAGCCAAGTCCAGGCAGCAGTGGTGGTGGCATCATGGAGCAGCACTTGGTGCAACATGACAGAGACATGGCTCGTGGTGTTCGGGGTCTGGCCCCGAGCACAGGAGCTCGGCTCAGTGGAAAGCCAGTACTGTGGGAGCCACTGGTACATGCGCCCCTTCAGGCAGCTGCTGTTACCTCCAATGTGGCCATTGCCCTGACTCACCAGCGGGGCCCTCTGCCCCTCTCCCCTGACTCTCCAGCCACCCTCCTTGCTCGCTCTGCTCGGCGCTCAGCAGGGTCTCCAGCTTCCCCGCTGGTGCCCGTCCGAGCTGGCCCGTGGGCATCCACCTCCCGCCTGCCCGCCCCACCTGCCCGAACCCTGCATGCCAGCCTATCCCGGGCAGGGTGCTCCCAGGTCTCCCTGCTGGGTCCCCCCCCAGGAGGAGGTGGACGGCGGCTAGGACCTCGAGGCCGCCCACTGTCAGCCTCCCAACCCTCTCTGCCTCAGCGGGCAACAGGCGATGGCTCTCCTGGGCGTAAGGGATCAGGAAATGAGCGGCTGCCTCCCTCAGGGCTCCTGGCCAAGCCTCCAAGGACAGCCCAGCCCCCCAGGCCACCAGTGCCTGAGCCAGCCACCCCCCGGGGTCTCCAGCTTTCTGCCAACATGTAAAACCCTTGAGTACATCCAGCCTTAGTTCTTGGGGTGCAGTAGTATGTACCCTAGGGCAGATGCCTCTTAGGGAAGGCCGTGGGGACCTGAAACATTGCCCCATGGAAATGTCGACCCTGTGCGGACATTCCCCATACTGCCATGAAGACGGTCTCAGCTCAAGAATCCTGTAGCTTGTCCCATCATAATCCATTCACCCATTCATCATGTGTACTGAGCAGCTACCATGTTCAAGGTAATATGCCAGGCGCTGTATGTCTCCACTGCCAAGTAGAAGTGACTCAAAACCCTCTGACAAGAATATTCCCCTGGCTATGGTCCTGCCAGGTGCAGGCCCAGGCCCATGACCCCACCTTTACTAAGCACAAGTACTTGCCACCGCCATCACTGCCAAGTAGCTAGATGTCTCTGTTTCCCTGCCGATGATCCTGCAGGTTCTGCCTGGCCTGGTTATCTTCCTGTTCCTGTAGCATAGCCAGGCACTGCCAATCACCTGCGCCCCCATTACTGCCAGCAGATGTCTTGAGTCCTGAGTGTGGGTATCCACCTTTACCCACTCACTGCCACCTGTGGACACTCCGTGTCTACCCCCTGAGTGGGAACACACTTCTAAGTTCCCTGCAGTCTCTGTCCTGTGGTAGACCGTCTTTTTGTAAACCGGGAGATGCCTCTCCCCTGTACCCTCTGCCCCAGTCATGCCCCCCTAAAAGTTAAGGAGTAGTTGGCACCTCCTTATTAATATGCCAGCCTAGATCCCCGCTGGTGGAGGGGCAAATGGCTGAATCCTTGTGAGATATTTTTTTCTTTGCTTGTTTATTTATTTATTCATTTATTTAATTGTATTTATTCATTTACTAATTTTATGTGTTACCAATTCATTTTGTTTACCCATTCCTTTATCCATCCCTCCCCTCCTTTTCAGATAAGGAGACAGGAGGACTAGGAGGAGGCAGGGCCTCTCCATGCCAGCCTCTGTGGTCCTTTCCCAAACCCATCAGCACAATACTTGAACCTTCTCCCAGGTAGGGGCAGGAGGAGCCACATGAGAGAGGGAGAAGGACTGTGTTTACCTTTAGAGTTTTGTTTTGTTTTTTTCCTTCTGAGTTTGCTGTTGGTGCAGGAGTAAGGGAAAGGCCCAAGGTATCCAAGCCTAGGGAAGGGCAGGCCAGCCAGCACCTCTGCCTTCTCAGGGACAAGAGTAGTCCTTTACCACACTCACTCACTCTGTCTGTCCCCTCTGCTACTCTACAGCATTAGAGACTGTGGGGCCAGGACCCCAAGTCTCCTTTCCTTCTGGGTGGGGAGTTCTGGGGTTGTTGGTGTGTGGGAGAAGTTTTATAATTGCTTCCAAACAGCTGGGTTTAAATATAAAATAGACACACTCATTTTTGGCTCTTGGTTTGTGTGTGGGAACAAAGTGAGTGGGAAGGAATTTCTGGGTGCAGAAGGAAGCAGCCGGGGATTTGACCAAGCAAGGTATCAGGCGGGCATGAGAGCAGCCAGGACAGTGGTCTATAAGCCCAGCACAGAGGTTGTGAAGACAGTGACAAAATCAGCTGCCCAGCCCTCCCTTCTCCCCAGCATCCATCCCACCCAGTTTTCCCCAAATCGTGGACTATCATGTCACTGTTAGTCACCATGAAAGGGTAGCCTGCCCTGGCATGAGATGCCCAGATTATCATGAGGGCCACATATGAGAATGGGAGATTGTGGACAAGATTGCCCTGTCTCCCTTCTCCCCGACCCCAAGGGATGAGATGTCTGGGGTTATGGAATTAACCAGCCAAACTGGGATTAAAGGCTCAAGGCATCTTAGGGCCTGCTGAGTGGATTGGATGCAGGGAATGTACAGTTGGTGCTGTCGGGTGGCCAGTGCATAATTGGACACAGACTTTCAGGACCTGTGTGAAATGGAGATGGGGAAGGGGCAACCTCGAATGGGGCTAGATGGCAGATACAGTCTCAGATAGGTCTCAGGTAGGGAGGTTCAGGAATAGAGAAGAGAGGACTTAAAGGTGGGGCTTTGGAGGGATGTGGGCTGGAGGACGTAGACTGGGGAGGAAGGGATGGGATACAGGGGTAGGCTGGGCCAGAGGAGGGAGGGGCGTCTCAGGATATGCTCAGCACCCGCATGATGTTGGTGTAGCCGGAGCCAGGTCGCCAGCCTGTCACCACAATCACCAGGTCTCCAACACGGAGGAAGCCACGGAGCTTTCCTTGGGGAGGGAAAGAAAACAAGACATCGGACAGGCGTGGTGGCTCACACCTGTAATCCCGCACTTTGGGAAGCCAAGGCGGGCAGATCACCTGAGGTCAGGAGTTCGAGACCAGCTTGGCCAACATGGTGAAACCTTGTCTCTACTAAAAATATAAAAATTAGCTGGGTGTGGTGGCGTGCACCTGTAATCCCAGTTACCCAGGAGGCTGAGGCAGGAGAATCACTTGAACCCAGCACCCAGGAGGTAGAGGTTGCAGTGAGCCGAGCCGAGATCGCGCCACTGCACTCCAGCCTGGGCGACAGAGCAAGACTCCATCTCAAAAAAAAAAAAAAAAAAAAAAAAAGAAGAAGAAGAAGAAGAAAAGAAAGAAAGAAAATCAGTCATTGAAAATTAGTCATTGAGGGACCAGGCCAGCCCTGTAACGAGAACCAGCCACCACCCTCCACCATGTCAAGGCCACCCTGTAGGGAATGAGGCAGTGAAGTATGTTCCATAGGTGGCACGCAGGGAATATCACCACTGCAGTATATTAAAGGCACAAGATAGGCCGGCACGGTGGCTGACACCTGTGATCCCAGCACTTTGGGAGGCCGAGGCAGGCAGATCATGAGGTCAGGAGATCGAGACCATCCTGGCCAACATGGTGAAACCCCGTCTCTACTAAAAATACAAAAATTAGCCGGACGTGGTGGCACGTGCCTGTAGTGCCAGCTACTCAGGAGGCTGAGGCAGGAGAATCACTTGAACCTGGGAGGCGGAGGTTGCAGTGAGCCGAGATCGTGCCACTGTACTCCAGCCTGGCGACAGAGCGAGACTCCATCTCAAAAAAACAAAGAACAAACAAAACTCCTAGCAGGAGTATCCGTGCTAGGACAGAGTGTGTTGCTAAGTAGCACAGCTGTCTGCCTGTGTGGCTATGCTGATGGAAGAGGTGTTTGTGATATGCCAGACTGATATCTCAGTCTTAGTGACTCTCACAGGGAAAACCTGGAACCACAGGAGAGAGGCAAGGCCCTTTGAGTGGGTATGGGAAGCTGGGTTGGAGAACTCCTGATATGAATGGTAGGAGTGGGCGGGGAAGGTCTAGGTAGCTCACCACTTTCAATGCCAAATTGCACCCGGCGATCTACGTCATCTGCCCAGATGGCTTCTGGAGGTTCACGGTAAAGCAAGGGGAAGACTCCTCGGCATAAGTGGACCTGGCGGGCAGCTTGGGCAGAGCGGGTGACAGCAATGACTGCTGCCCGAGGTCGGTACTGAGACAGAAGCTGAGCTGAGCTGGAGAAGGCAGAGAAGGTCAGCCCAGAACAGCGAGGGAGTGGTGAACCAGGAAAGGAGAGTCTGGGTTCTGGTTCCAGGTGTCACTAACAAGCTGTGTGACCCTGAGTAAGTCACCATACTTCTCTGGGCCTTGGTGTTCTCACCTGTAAAATGAGTGTAAGAATGCCTGCCTCCCAGGCTGGGCACAGTGGCTCATGCCTGTAATCCCAGCACTTTGGGAGGCCAAGGTGGGAGAATTGTTTGAGCCCAGGAGTTGAAGACCAGCCTAGGCAACATAGTGAGACCCTATCTCTGTTTAAAAAAAAAGAAAAAAAAAAAGAATGCCTGCCCTCCCTACCACACAAGAAAGATATGAGATAATACGGATGTATCGAATGAGATAATAAGGAGAAATCTCTTCAAAAAATATAAAAACTGGCCAGTCACGGTGGCTCATGCCTAGGATCCCGGCAGTTTGGGAGGCCAAGGAGGGTGGATCACCTGAGGTCAAGAGTTTGAGACCAGCCTGGCCAACATGGCAAAACCCTGTCTCTACTAAAAATACAAAAAATTAGCTGGGTGTGGTGGCAGGCGCCTGTAATTCCAGCTACTTGGGAGGCTGAGGCAGGAGAGTCACTTGAACCTGGGAGGTGGAGGTTGTGGTGAGCCGAGATTGCACCATTGTATTCCAGCCTGAGCAACAGAGTGAGACGCCGTTCTCAAAAGAAAAAACAACAACAACAACAAAGTATAAAACCCTTTTGAGAATGTGCATTATGTGCTTAATTTACTGTATAGATATTAGGTACTATGTAGTACTTAATATCTCCTGTTAATCCTCACAACCCCATGAAGAACAAATCATTACCTTGTCCTGTTCATGAGGAAAGACAGCAGGCTAACAGAGCTACATTTCAGAGTAAAGACTTAAACTCAGACCTACTGGGCCCTTCTGCAATACCTCAGCATTTGTAGGCTCTGTGGGCCGAATGGACTTGCCTCTGAGCCCCAGGAGCCCAAATGGCCTTGAAGCCAATGTGCCCAGTGATGCTGCTATCCCCTTCCAGCCCTAGAAGCTCACTGGCATTCTGTGTCTCCTGGCCTCCAGCTGTCATTGCTGTCTCTCCTCTTGTCTCAGGTGGACACGCTTCACTCCTGGTGACCAGACTAAACCCAGGCCTGGGGCCCATCCCAGCCTACCCTTGACCCAAATCTCCATCTGGGCATCCCCCTCACCGGCCAGTTGTGGTCAGTACGATGATGGCAGCAGCACAGCACTTGAAGGCAGCCTCCACGGCGCCAATGGCGATGACCTCAGTGGGATCACGGCTCAGTGGCGCTGCCCGACGTAGCTCCTCAAACAGCTGCCGGTGGTACACTGCAGCCTCTGCCTCCCGGGCAATCTGCAGGTGCCAGAATGTCAGGCTGGGAAGGGGCACTGGGGTATGGAAGGGATTTGGTTCCCTGGCCCATTTGCTTTTCATTCTGAGCTCTTACCGCATGCTGCATCTTCACGGCTTCCACAGGGAAGTTGCCTTTGGCAGTCTCCCCTGACAGCATGATGCAGTCAGCCCCATCTAGCACAGCATTGGCCACATCGCTTGTCTCTGCCCTCGTTGGCCGGGGCTTGGTAATCATGCTCTCCAGCATCTGAGGGACAGCATGGACATCAAAGATGTAGGAGTCACACCGTGACTTGAGACCCTGCCCAAGCTACTCTCTGACACCCACGTTCTCAGAGGGTCCCGAAATCCAGGGTCACAGTCACAACCCCTGAAAATAGGGGTCAAAGTATATCTAACTTTATCATTTGAGGATCAAACACTTGTCAGCAAAATGTGCTATAAACCTACAGTGTGGGCCGGGCACGGTGGCTCACGCCTGTAATCCCAGCACTTTGGGAGGCCGAGGTGGGTAGATCACCTGAGGTGAGGAGTTCGAGACTAGTCTGGACAACATGGTGAAACCCTGCCTCTACTAAAAATAGAAAAAGTAGCCTGGTGTGGTGGTGGTAACTGTAATCCCAGCTACTTGGGAGGCTGAGGCAGGAGAATTGCTTGAACCCAGGAGGCGGAGGTTGCAGTGAGGGAAGATTGTGCCACTGCACTCCAGCCTGGATGACAGAGACAAAACAAAACAAAACAAAACAAACCCTTACAGTATGGGTATTCATCCACAGTTGTCCCTAAAACCCACAAAGTGCCGAACCTCAAGGGCTCACTCCAGACCTGTGTGGCACAGACAACAGGCTTGCCCGCCAAGTTGCAGCGCCCAATCATCATCTTCTGAGCCAGGAAAACCTTCTCTGCTGGAATCTCGATGCCTAGGTCCCCCCGTGCCACCATGATGCCGTCGCTCACCTCCAGGATTTCATCAAACCTGAGAAGTTGGGAGAATCAGGGCTGAGGCAGAAAGCCAGGAGATGCCAGGCAGAGGCAGGCGGGAGAAGAAAGGTGATGGGGAATAGTGACAGGGCCGAAGGGGAACAGAGCCCGAGCCTCACCTCTTCACGCCTTCGTGGTTCTCAATTTTGCTGATGATCTTGATGCCCTGTCCTTCCGGCCCCAGTGCAGCCCTGACAGCAGCCACATCGCTGGCTTTCCGCACAAAGGAGGCAAACACGATGTCCACTCCATGCTCCACCCCGAAGCGCAGGTCCCGGACGTCCTGCTCGGACAGCCCGGGCAAGTCCACCTGGGCCCCCGGCAAGTTCACGCCCTTACGGCTGCCCAGGACGCCACCGTTCTCCACTTGGGTCACCAGTCCCTCTGGGCCTGAGGACATGAAGAGAGGCAGCTGCGGTCAGGGGTGAGGACCGGGCACAGTTACAGCAGAGAGGACACTGGGCTTGGATCCCCAAGAGGTCAGGAACCACGCCCTCCCCGTCTCTCCGCCCTTGTTCTGGGCTCTGCCCAGAAGAGGCACAGATGGACATCCGTGGAAGAAAGGACCCACCCGTAGTCCAGCCCAAACCCAGGGTGAGCGCGGAGTCTGCATGCTGGGGACTCCTGTGACAGGCTGGCAAAGACGCGTGGCCAGGGGAAGGTGTGGTCGGTCTGAGGGCTGATGGGGGAGCCAAGGAGAAGGGAATGTGCCCAGCGCACGGATGTGGTCAGGGCGGGAGGCGCGTCCGCACCGATTTTCTGGACCACTAGGGAGATGAGCCCGTCGTCAATGTAGATGCGGCCCCCCACCGGCACGACCCCGACAATATTGGGGTAGTCCACCCACACGGTGTTCGCGTTCCCCCGCGTCCGAAACGCGGGGTCCACAGTCACCAGCACCTGGGAGCCCTTCACCAGCTCCACTTCCGACTCCGGACCCTAGGGGCGGAGCCAGAGGAGATGTGAGTTCTGTGCCCCGGAGTCCGGGACCCGCCCCTGCCCACGCCTGGACCCAGTCCAACTGGCACCGCCTTTCCCGCCCCGGGCCGGCGAGTCCCAGCCCCACTGCTCACCCCCTGCAGGATCCCAGTGCGGATCTCCGGTCCCTTGGTGTCCAGGGCGATGGCCACGGGCCGGTAGCTGAGCGGGGAAGCTGCAAAGCTCTCCACCGCCTCCCGGACGTTGGCGATGGACTCAGCGTGGTACTGGGGGAGGGAGCGGAGCGAGGGTTTCAGGGGAAGGTGGCCAGGACCTCGAGGCATCCTCCTGCCCCACCCACCGCCCGGCGGCCCGTCCAGCACCTCGTGGGAGCCGTGGGAGAAATTGAGTCGCGCAATGTTCATCCCGGCCTTGATCATCTCCTTGAGGCGCTCCACGGAGCGAGATGCCGGCCCTAGAACCAGAAATTCACGTTCAGACAACATTCCCCCAGAACATGAGAGGCAACCAAACCCAACCCATTACCAATCTCAGACGGCCCCGCGCCACAAGAGTCCTGTTACCTGACCTTTATTCCCTGATGCAACCCCTGCTCACAGATCACAGACTCCGCTTCCCTCTCCAGCAAACATCTGTCCCCTTGGGGAGACGGCACTGTGGAAGTAGGAGGGGAGTGCCCTCCGCCAGGCCTGAGGTCACTGTGTGGGCATGTGATGTATGTAAGTGCTGCTTGCCCGGCTACCCCAGGGTATGGGGTGTAGGGCAGGGGCTGGGAGCCAGGTGAGGGCGTTTGGGTGCGGGGTTTTAGAGCTAGGAGGCCTCATGGACTGAGGAGAGCTGAGTTCTATCCCACGCCAGCGCTGCTATGGGGCAGCTGCTAGCTGAGAGCAGGTTGGCTCATTCTTCGGTCCCTATCTGTCTTCCCACTTGTGCACTAGATCTCCTCCTTCTCACCTGCTCAAGGACATAGATTCAGCCATTCTGTGGTCCTCTGTGACACCCATGTTTTCCTTTCTTTTTCTTTTCTTTTTTTTTTCTTTTTTCTTTCTTTCTTTCTTTCTTTCTTTTTTTTTTTTTTTTGAGACAGAGGGAGTTTTGCTCTTGTCACCCAGGCTGGAGTGCAGTGGCAGCATCTCTGCTCAATGCAACCTCTGCCTCCCCGGTTCAAGCAATTATCCTGCCTCAGCCTCCTGAGTAGCTGGGATTACAGGTGTGCACCACCACACCCAGCTAATTTTTTTGTATTTTCAGTAGAGAAGGGGTTTCACCATGTTGGCCAGGCTGGTCTTGAACTCCTGACCTCAGGTGATCTACCCACCTTGGCCTCCCAAAGTGCTGGGGTTACAGGTGTGAGCCACCTTGCCCAGCCATGTTTTCCTTTTTTACTGGATCATCCCCATCAGCATGTAAACCTACTGTTATTTCTTTCATCATTTAAAAAAAATTCTAGGCCAGGCACAGCAGCTCAAGCCTGTAATCCCAGCACTTTGGGAGGCCGAGACGGGCGGATCAGGAGGTCAGGAGATCGAGACCATCCTGGCTAACACTGTGAAACCCCATCTCTACTAAAAAATACTCACACACAAAAAAACTAGCTGGGCGAGGTGGCAGGCGCCTGTAGTCCCAGCTACTCGGGAGGCTGAGGCAGGAGAATGGCGTGAACCCGGGAAGCGGAGCTTGCAATGAGCTGAGATCCAGCCACTGCACTCCAGGCTGGGCACATAGCGAGACTCTGTGTCAAAAAAAAAAAAAAAAATTATCTTAATCCCCTGGTTTCCCCTCAGTCCTAGTTTTTGCTTTCTCTTGCAGCAAAACTCATTGCAAGAGTTATCTGTACTTGCTGCCTCCAGTTCCCCTCCCCCATCCTCCCTTGAATCCACCCCACTCAGGCGCTGGCCTCCATCTCTCCACTGCATCTGTTCTTGTCAAGGTTACCAAGAACCTCTGTGTTGTTGCTCAGTGTAATGCTCAATGCTCAGTCCTCCTCTATTGGCCCATCAGCAGCCTGGACACACATCCCTCTTTGACACACTGTCTTCACCTGACCTCCAGGACCACACCCTCTCTTGGTTGACTCCTACCTCACTAGCTGCTCCTTCCCAGTCTCCTTTCCTTGTTCCTCCCCTTAACGTTAGATACCCTGTTCTCTTCTCTGTCATTTCACCTACACTCCTTTGGTGATCTCAACTAGTCTCATGGCTTGAGATACCATCTATATGTAGTCAACTCCCAAGTGTCTCTCCAATCCAGACCTTTCTCCCAAACCCAGAGTTGTGTACCTGACTGCCCCCGCTCTATCACACTTGGATGGCTAATATGCATCTCAGACTCAACATGTCCCAAGTGAACGTCTCTTCTCTCCCGAACCCCTTCCACCACAGTCTTTCCTGCTCAGTAGATAATGCATTGTTGCAGTTCCTCATGGCAAAAACCTCAGTCACCTGTCACCTTTGACTCCTTTCTTTCTCGCCCTCACTCCCTACCCTATATCCAATCAATCAGCAAATCCTGTCAGCTCTACCTGCAAAATACATTCAGAATCTGACCACTTCTCACCACCTCACTGCCGCCAACTGGTCTGAGACAGAAATACTGCAGGGCACCCTTCCCCCAACCCTCCATCTATTTTCAGTACAGTAGCAGGGCAGGGGAGGTTCTATTAAAACATAAATAAGAGCTTGTCATCCCCCTGCTCAAAACCCTGCAGCAGTTTCTCATTTCACTCGGAGGAAAACGCAACTCAAATTCTAAAAATGGCCTACAAAGCCCCACCTGATCTTCCTCTCCCCGCAGTCTCTTCATATCTGCAGCTCTTCCCCCTTGATGGTTTTTAGCTCTTCTTTTTATTTTATTTTATTTATTTTTGTTTTTGAGACGGAGTCTCGCTCTGCTGTTCAGGCTGGAGTGCAGTGGCTGGATCTCAGCTCACTGCAAGCTCCTCCTCCCGGGTTCACGCCATTCTCCTACCTCAGCCTCCTGAGTAGCTGGGACTACAGGCGCCCGCCACCTTGCCCGGCTAGTTTTTTGTATTTTTTAGTAGAGACGGGGTTTCACCATGTTAGCCAGGATGGTCTCGATCTCCTGACCTCGTGATCCGCCCGTCTCAGCCTCCCAAAGTGCTGGGATTACAGGCGTGAGCCACCGTGCCTGGCCGGTTTTTAGCTCTTCTAACCTCCTTGACTTAGGCCTTGGCACTGACTGGTCCTTCTTCCTGGAATTCTCCTCCCGGATCTTTGCATGGCTAATTCTCTCATCTCCTTCAAGTCTTCCCTTAGGTCTCATTTTCTCAATAATGGGTACCTGACCTCCCTATTTAGGGCTGCAACTTGCCTTCACCCTTGTACCCCTGATGCCCTTACCATACTTGATTTCTTTCCCCATAGCATTTATAACTTTCACTTTTTCTTTCTTTTCTTTTCTTTCTTTTTTTTTTTTTTTTAAGACGGAATTTCTCTCTGTCACTAGGCTGGAGGACAGTGGCACGATCTCTGCTCACTGCAATCTCCGCCTTCCGGTTCAAGCAATTCTCCTGCCTCAGCTTTCTGAGTAGCTGGGACTACAGGCATGCACCACCATGCACAGCTAATTTTTGTATTTTTAGTAGAGATGGGGTTTCACCATGTTAGACAGGATGGTCTCAATCTCTTAGCCTCGTGATCCGTCTGCCTCCGCCTCCCAAAGTGCTGGGATTACAGGCATGAACCACCGCGCCTGGCCATT